TCACAAGCTTCCGATATCTTTGGCATTCAACTCCTTGTCGGATGAGGTGTCTCAGGACGCCAGCATGAGCCAGATGCTTACAGAAGGTGTCGATGATCCACACAGTCCGCTTTCGTGTCGTGCCTACACGTCGAACCAGATCGTCAAAAACATCATCGAGGAAACAGGTGTTCGGCCCGTTCCTATCGCAGTTTACTTGGACGGAGTCCGTTACACTGCCCCAGGCGCTGGCAAGCAAGACTCGATACTAGGAATATCATTCATTAACCTTTTAAGTAACAAGAGGCACTTGAGCGTAGTGGCCCGGACAGGTGACTTCTGTGATTGTGGTTGTCATAATTGGTGTAGCCATTACTCCATCCTGTCCCAGATAAAGTGGCAATTGCAAGTGATGAAATCAGGAGAGCCCCCGCCCGTGCGCCACGACGGCTCCCCTTGGGACCCTGGAGACCCGTTGGTTCATTCGAAGCCCCTCGCGGCCAGGTTTGTGATGATCTATCTGAAAGGGGATTGGGCAGAATGGGCTAAGACCTTGGCGTTGAGCTCGTGGGCGTCGTATTATAATTGCTGTCCTATTTGTCCAGCGCCGCTCGACTCTCTCCACGTCTTGTTTGAAGGGTTCATGGACCATGGGGGACTGCCATTCGCAGATAGAGATGAGAGCGAGTATGAGGAGGCATGCGCTGGGTGCGAGATCATCGTCGATGTTCGAACTGAGGCTATGCGAGACCAGATACGTTGCCGTCTTTCGTTCGAGCCAGGTGGTAAGTACAAGGGTCTCACAATCATGTCTGACATAGACGACGGGCGCGTTCATTTGCGAGTTGGTGACAGGTTGGATCCTTCCGAGGGGCTCCCTGACACACACCGGTTCGACACGAAACCCATCCCGTTCAGGTGCTGTTTCTGGAGGGGGCGTTATCACGGTGATAAGCTCGTGGATTGGCCAACGCATCGGTGCCCACTCTTCGATCCGAGCATCTGTGCCTCGCCGCAGAGCGTCCTCGCGATCGACGCGCTCCACTCTGTATACCTGGGGCCAGTGCATAGAGTGGTGTCAACGGTCTTGTGGCGAACGATCGAGGCGAACCCATGGGGCATTGTCGGGGGGGCCGAGGTGACTTCGAGGCTCGGATGTCGCCGCCTCGAAGCTGATATGTATGCATGGTTCGACTCGGAACACATTCCACACGATCGTCGGCTCGGGGGACTGAAACTATCCATGTTAGGTCCAGGGTCTTCAGGGTTGCCGCACACAGGGGGCCCAATGAGTACCAAAGCAGCGGAGTCTGGGACCCTGCTGAGATTTTGCAGCCGCGTTCTTGACAAATATTCTGGGCAATACGAGCACGGACACCTCACAGTTGCAGTTCGCTCCCTGATCGCTTGGTTGGATGTCTGTCACGAAGCACCGATGCGTTTGAATTCTCGAGAATACCAATCTTTACTAGACAATTGCGCGAGGCACATGTTTGCTTGCCGTGACGCTGGTATCAAGCGGACGGCGAAACACCACCTCTTTTGCCACCTCTCAATAAGGTCACAGGGCAGATTGTTCGAAATACGTAGTCGAGCCACGGCGTAGGGGTGAGGAGAAGGAGTGGTGAGAGGAGAAGAAGGAGGAGAGGGAGAGGATACGAGGAGGCACGGAGCAAGAGTGATATAATGGAGAGATCGAGGAGCGATATCATGCTACACGCCATTGCACATGTAATTCGCCGCACACATGGCAGCTGGAGAGATCATAGAGAGAGACCCAACAACCCAAACAAACGATGCATGATGAGAGAGAGGGCGAACGATATTGAGTGGAGAGCGATGCATGATCAATGCGCGGGCGCGCTAGCCTTGTGCCACGTGTTCTCGGGCGCCCGATACCTCCACTCCCAATCAGGGCCAAGGGTAGTGCGAAGCTCTTCACAAGCGTGCGAGTCATGTCTGATGCCTTCAGGGTGAGATCGCCGATGCATCGGATAGACGATCATCGCTCACGCATCGGCGATTCAACATGAACGCACAAGCACGCATGACAATCACCGTCCCTCCCCATTGCTGTGGACATATGGGTTGATAACACCTCGCGCCCTGTCCCCTGGGTGGAAGGCGGGAAGGGGCATGGGGCGGAGGGGCAGGGATTAGAGCGTATGGGGCCAAGGCGGATACGGAGGTGCGCCAATCTTGTAAGCTAACAGTTCTACTTCGCTATCCGATTTTTCACGATGGTAATGCCCATCTGGGCCCGTGCAAGGGCTCCGCGGCGCGTGTCTGATGACTTCCCAGGGGTCATATATGTCGAAAGATAGGCGGGCGCCTTGAGGCAGGCACGGGGGCGCGTGAGTCGAGCAGGGGGCAACTGGCGCCGCGACGTCGGGCCAGTACCTTTCGGAGGGGGAGGCGCGAGAGGTTAAGGAGCCCCACCAGTTGGGGCAGGGGGATGGCATGGAAGCGTGGGAGGGTAGGATGGGAGAGATAACAGGTGGCGCCATCCCGAACAAAATAGCCGAGGCCATTTGGTTCACCCCCTCGCCCCGCCCTCCACCCCCATCACCACCCCGCCCTGCATAGCGGCCTACTTGATAGATATCCCACCCCTACCCTCCAGGTCTTGGGTCATGGGGAACCCGTCATCATATTCAACATTCACTGACGAGGGCTTAAATTTCTTACTGAGAACTGCAGCCCAGCATAGTCACAGAGCAACGATGGAAGAGAATGTGCACAACGCGTATTTGATCATTGGGATGCTCGAGCTCAATAGGTACTTGTTTGGCTCGGGTAAATAATTGTACTATGGCAGAGCTTGGTCATGGTGTTCCCCATTGGGTGCTCGAGCTTGCTCGAGAACTAGCTGGCGGCACCGACTTGCACGCTGGTGTGTCTTCTTCTTCTTCGGACTGTATCGTCAATCTCGCGCGGGATGCTGTGAGCAAGTGGTTGTCGGACGGCGTCCCGTCGAGCAGGACGCTCAATGTATTCGAGGTTTTTTGCGGACAAGGCAGGGTGTGCGAGGCCGTGGTTGGCCTCGGTGGAACGGCTCGCGGTTTCGACAGGACCAGTGGGGCAGCAACAGGACACAAAAGGGCCATGGCAATCTCGCCCCACACTATACACCAATATACACATAATACTAAGCCGATGCATCAGCCAGCTGATCACGCAAACGATGCATTGGCGATGCACGCGCACAGGAACACGCAAAAGACTCCTCACATAAACTACTAATAAATTTCGCGTAAACTACTCATAAAATACACATGCTTCACGCACGTTGCAGGCAGCAGGGGTGGTTGCAGGGGGGGCACTGTAGATGACTTGGGGAGAGGGTGAAGGGGGTGCGGCGCAAGGGGGTCTACACACTGGAACGACGCAGGATGACATCGACTGGGGGGGGTACCACATTGACATCGGGTGCCGCGAATCCACCTCCCTCCCCCCGTCCGCAACATCTATATTCAAGAAGCGCGGCGGACCCATTTTAGACACGGGCACGCTCCATATTACATGTTGGCACGTTCTGATGCAAATGAGATGACCATGGGGAACAGCGGGGGGAAGGGGTCCTTCGCGTTAGCTTGGAACATGCGGCACCCATGCTGGTGGTGGGTCGCTGGGGCCGAGGGGCTCCACAGGATCATATTTGAAAACCTGCTCCCGATCGTTTATGGAGACTTTGCCCGCGCCCGTGGCGCGCGGGCTTTATCGCGTGGGAAGATGGTGAGCCGATGGAGGATTCGCCTGCCGATGAAGATGAATGGTTGCGCCTTGACATTGACGCCCTCGAGTAGCGAGGGCGGCAATTCCAAGACCAATGCCACGACCAACACGCAACCCTCACCACATAGCGCCTCGCTAGATCGGCTTCCGAAAATCCGTTCGCTGCCGCGTTTTGTTTTGATGGGCCCAAGCTGCCATAGTACGTCTCGCCCTCGCCGACCCCTCCTCCGCCCCATCCTCTCCCTCCCCCTCCTGTTCCCCCCCGTCTCCTCCTACGCCCCTCTCATCCTCCCTCCCTCCTCCGCCCTTCTCCCCCCCCCCCGTTCTCATCCTCTTCCTCCTCGTTCTGGGGCCAGGAGTTGCAGAAAACGGCGTGGGAGTTCAAGGCCAACGGCGCCCCGACCCCGGTGAGCTCCCCAAATCTACCCATCCCGCCCCAGCTCGCACCGCCCGAGGACGTGCGACGCCTCCGAGGACATCTGCACCTTGTCGGGCGTCCTGTGGGCGGCGTGGAGCACCCTCTCAATCGTGCCAGCTGGCACGCTGATGTGGGAGCCTGAGTGTGCAACGTGGCTCAACATGTGCATGGGCCACACCCGCAGGGATCGCTCCGACTGGTGGGGCAACGAATCTCGCGCGGACGTCAGGGCTGCCAACCACACTGCTGCTGTCATGCAGGGGCCTTAACCGACAACGTGGGGGGCAGGGCAGGGGAGGAGGATGAGGAGGAGGAGGAGGAGGAGGAGGAGGAGGAGGAGCGGGGGGAGGAGGAAAAAGGGATGGAAGGATAATGACGGAAATGGCGAGAGAGTCAGCAGGGACAAGGCAATCAAGGACCGCGCGTGCACGGGATGGATCGAGCAGCAAAACCAGGGATGATCATCTGCACAATGCGCGGGAAGTCGGAAGGGATAACATCATAGGGGAAGGAGGGGGAGGGGTCGCGGGGTAGGACTCAAAACGACGGGAGGGGGCGGGTAAGAGGGGGGCGGTCGGAAATGGAAACGGAGGAGATTAAGGAGGATGCAGAGCAGAGGCGAGGAGCAAAGGCGAGAGCAGGTGGCGGAGGTGGACGAGGAGGAAGTGGGGGAGGCGGCAGTGGGAGTAGAGGGACGGCGAGGAGAAACAGCCCCCCCTCCGCCCGTGTTACACCGCTTCCGTGTATACCGCCACGACCCTGCCCTAGTATGTTGCTGCTTTGCCCTGCGCATCCACTCCTGCCGATCCGAATTCGTCCACCTCTCGGTTATGATTGGATGTGTGTTTGGGCGCTGCGACCGCTGAGGTCATTCCTGTTCCTTCTCGCCGACAGCAGGGGCGTGCACGTCGTGCTGGAACAGCCCACCGGCTCGATACTGTTTGATGTGCCGCACGTGATGTATACCCTTCAAGTCGTGCATGCGCATCGCATCGCAACCCACCTCGGCGGGTTTGGCGCAAAGTCGCTGAAACCCGTGACCCTTTTCACGTCGCACGACGAGGGCCGTGCGACTGGTCTTTTGCGTGTGTCGCGCACAGTGGCGCTGGCCTTCATCAAAGAGTCCAGCAGTTCAAGCGAGCGCCGTCTCGTTCGGCACACCTCTCGGGCATCTGCCGAATCTGGCTCAGAGAGTGGGTGGGGGTCCGCCACTAGCACGTGGATCGGCGGCGCGCAGGGCCAGAGGGCCAGCGCGCAGTATCCTCCAGCGTTTGCAATGGAGGTAGCCAAACTCATTTTGAATATTTGAGCAGATCGAGGGACCGCCAACGATTCACGTAGGAGGCAACGTAACTCATGGTAGTGATGAGGGCGAGGAGGATGATGAGGAGACTCAGGCGGAGGACGACGACAACGTTGCGTAGGAGTGGGGACGGCAACCAAGGAGGGGGGAATGTGAGGAGGAGGTGGAGGACGAGGAGGTGGAAGAGGGTGGTGGGAACAAGGTGTGGAGGGAGGAGGAGGAGGAGGAGGAGGAGAAGGAACAGGAGGAGGGGGAGGAGCAGGAAGAGCGTGAGGAATGGGAGGATGAGAAGACGGAGGAGGAGGGGGAGGAGGAGGAGGAAGAGGAGGAGGAGGAAGAGGAAGAGGAGGAGGAGGAGAAGGAGGAGGAGGAGGAGAAGGAAGAGGAGGAGGGGGAGGAGGAGGAGGATGAGGAGGAGGGGTACTTAAGCACAGGCACAAAAGAGAAGTGGCGGTCCTCGTGGCTCTCCTGCTCCTGCCCCGCTGCCGCGAGCATCTCGTTGGCGCTCTCGACCCCGCGCAAGCAAAAAGCAGGCAGGCAGGGCAGGCGCGACGCGATCGACCCCGAGGGCGGATTGACGATCCCCTGTGCGATCCCCATGTTTTCACCTGTCACCGATCTTCCTGGCCGCAATTCGGGCGGCCAGGAAGATGGGCGACACTAGCGTTGGGAGGGTCCCGCTGTTAAGGGCTGGGGTGCCCCACCTCGTCATCTCCCCCTGATCACCCCTCCCCCTTTACAGACCTCCGAGGGGGAATCGATGGTGACGATGAGTTTAAAATAGTGTCATACATGACGGTGGCGATGGTGCAGCTGGTGTCGTGCAATCACATTGGGAAACAATGCCGATCATCGTCTCGCCTGTGGAGAAAAACACATTCGCGCGTTCGATGTTTGACTGGTCCTGCAACGCATAGCAAATCATAGCGTAGCATAGCATATACTAACATGAAATACAATAAAATAACATAACACAAAAATAACATGATTTTTAACATAACATGTGTTTCTTATTTTAAGATGCTGAGTGCCTCTGGGATTTCATGGGAACCACAAGAGGTTCTTAGAACATTGCTTGGTGGGGCTATAGGCGACCGGGGACGCTTCGCCACTGCTTGAAAGATGCCTCCCGTCGAGGGACCTGCCCGACTTGCAACTACCCCCGGAGCAAGGGCTCCAGGCACCCTGGGAATGCGGACCCCGAAGCCTCCGCCCCCGGCGGTCTGGGCCTGGGCCCCTTCCGACGGGGGCCAGCTCCCCCCGCCGCCCGTCCTGTATGCTTCGGAGGCCGGTCTTCGTTCGACGAGCGCGTTCCCAGGGGGCCAGATGCGAACCCTACCCCTACCCGTCGGAAGCAGTAGGTAATTAGCCTGGCGAAAGACCCTACCACATGCAGTCTTGAATACCGCAATTCTGAATACCATCTTCGCCCGCGCTCCCTATGTGGCCACGGCTTCCCGCCGGAGCCCGACATGCTCAGGAACACGTTCGTGGCCGTCTTCGCGGGCGCCGACGACGACAAGGACGGCGTCCCTCTGACCGAGGAGCGAGGAGCAGAAGCAGGAGAGGGCTTTGAGAGCCATGAGGGAGGAGGTGGCGTTGCACGTCGACAAGGCGGAGTACGACGCCCAGGCGCGGTTGTTGAAGCAGCACAACTATGGGGCGACGATCATCGTGACGGGTGTGCCGCAATTGCCCGAGGCCGCCATGCGAACCCTGGCACTGGGACCACCTTCGGTGGAGCTTCCTATGGGGCAACGATCCTCGTGAGGTGTGTGCCGAAATGGCCCGAGGCCGCCATGCGAACCCTGCCACTGGCGCCTTCGCTGGAGCTCCCTAGGGGGCCACACGATCATTGTGAGGGGTGTGCCGAAATGGCCCGAGGCCTCCATGCGATCCCTGGCACTGGAACCTTCGGTGGAGCTTCCTATGGGGCCACGATCCTCGTGAGGAGTGTGCCGCAATGGCCCGAGGCCGCCATGCGAACCCTGCCATTGGCGCCTTCGGTGGAGCTCCCTATGGGGCCACGATCATCGTGAGGGGTGTGCCGAAATGGCCCGAGGCCGCCATGCGAACCCTGCCACTGGCGCCTTCGCTGGAGCTCCCTATGGGGCCACGATCCTCGTGAGGGGTGTGCCGAAATGGCCCGAGGCCGCCATGCGAAACCTGCCACTGGGGGCCTTCGATGGAGCTCACTATGGGGCCACGATCCTCGTGAGGGGTGTGGCGAAACGACCCGAGGCCGCCATGCGAACCCTGCCACTGGGGCCTTCGGTGGAGCTCCCTATGGGGCCACGATCCTCGTGAGGTATGTCCCGAAATGGCCCGAGGCCGCCATGCGAACCCTGCCACTGGCGCCTTCGGTGGAGCTCCCTATGGGGCCACGATCCTCATTAGGTGTGTGCCGAAATGGCCCGAGGCCGCCATGCGAACCCTGCCACTGGCGCCTTCGCTGGAGCTCCCTAGGGGGCCACACGATCATTGTGAGGGGTGTGCCGAAATGGCCCGAGGCCTCCATGCGATCCCTGGCACTGGGACCTTCGGTGGAGCTTCCTATGGGGCCACGATCCTCGTGAGGGGTGTGCCGCAATGGCCCGAGGCCGCCATGCGAACCCTGCCATTGGCGCCTTCGGTGGAGCTCCCTATGGGGCCACGATCATCGTGAGGGGTGTGCCGAAATGGCCCGAGGTCGCCATGCGAACCCTGCCACTGGGGCCTTCGGTGGAGCTCCCTATGGGGCCACGAAACGCTGTACTGGGTGGGTGAAACGCAGAGAGGAGGGAGGAGGAGGCGGGAGGGCGGGAAGGAGGAACGCGGGGCGCCGTCTCTTCAAAACGAGGACCCAACACCACAGGATGGTTGGGAAAAACATTGAGTAGGAAGGTAGATGAAGCAGATTGGGTGTGGGCCCTGGCAGAGAATCTGGGAACACCTCAGAACCAAGCCGGCTCTTGGAGTAGGGAGGCGCGAGAAAAAGATTGGGATCTGGGAATCCAGATATACCTACCCATCGGTCGGAAGCAGTAGGTAGAAACATGAAGTAGGAAGGCGTTGGAAGCAGCTTGGGCCCCCGCTGGCCTCCCGAAGAGGAGGGAAGGTGGAAAACCCCTCGACCCTTGAGGTCGGAAGGCGCTCCAAGTAGATTGACAAATGAGAATCCAAATCGGGGATGGACAGACCCCCTTTTAGCAAAACGTTATTTAGTGAAAACGACCTGAGGCCCAAACCTGGCGGGCGCAAGCCTGGAAAAGAACGGCCACGGCGCCCTCTCGAGAACCGAGAACGGACAAAATTCGCTAATCCACGTGCCACTGTTGGGGGTTCTCTGTCCCCCCCCGACCAAACATACCCACTTTCAACGACCGACGGGTACTTTCAACGACCGACTGGCAAATCCGGGGCCTCCTCTGGACGCCCCGCTGCGCCCGCCGCCGCGGCGCCTCTCCTCCTCCTCCTCCTCCTCCTCCTCCTCCTCCTCCTCCTCCTCCTCCTCCTCCTCCTCCTCCTCCTCCTCCTCCTCCCTGTTCCTCCTCCTTTCCTCCTCCCCTCTTCCTCCTCCTGCTCCTCCTCCTCCTCCACTTTCAACGACCGACGGGTACTTTCAACGACCGACTGGCAAATCCGGGGCCTCCTCTGGACGCCCCGCTGCGCCCGCCGCCGCGGCGCCTGGCCGGGGCCTCGCGGGCGCCGCCGCGCCGCCCACGGCGGCCCGCGCCTGCCGGGCCGCCAGGCCTGCGCGCGCGGGGCCCTGGCGTTTGCCCTGGCCGCGGCGGCCTCTGGCCGCGGCGAGAGAGAACAAAGGACGACGACAGATGGAGGAGGAGGAGGATAGGAGGAGGAGGAGGGAGGAGAGGAGGAGGAGGAGGAGGCGTTGGCCTTGGCAGCGGCGGCCTTTGCCGCGGCGGCCTTGGCCGCGGCGGGCCCGCGCTCGCCGCGCGCCGGGCGGCGCGGCGGCCGCCGGCGCCGCCGCGGGCCGCGGCGGCGGGGCGGCGCGCCCCGCGGAGCCCCAGGCGGGGGCCTGGGCCGCGTGAGCAGCGATCCGGAGCGAGTCTTGCGCGAGAGGGCGGTCGGGGCCTGGGCCCGAAGAGCGTCCCTTGGAAACACAGGGAGAGAGGAGGAGGAGGAGGAGGAGGAGGAGGAGGAGGAGGAGGAGGAGGAGGAGGAGGAGGAGGAGGAGGAGGAGGAGGAGGAGGCGCCCTCCGCGGACCAAAACAGGCAGAACATCCCAGGGTGCCCTCCCCGGGGTGCACAGGGCACGCCACACTCGAAGCGAGGGCGCCTGCGCGCGACCTTCCGTGGGCAGCTGGCGCGCGAGTGTCGGCGCAGTCGAGCCCGTTGTTCGGCGTCGCTCATGTTTTGGACGCCCGAAGTGGGTACGGAAAACATGGGCACAATGCCCAACAGCAAATGTTGTCCCAAACCAAGAGCGGCCGCTGTTGAGCAGGCGGCCTTCTGTCTCGAATGGACACAGGCCGCGGCGGGGTGGACAGCGAATCCTGTTCAAAATGAACAGCAACTGCTGTTGGGCATCGTACCCATTCTTTCCGTACCCACTTCGAGCGTCCAGACATGTGAGTCCCGCAGTGGCCCCGAGGGCGCGCCAGCCACCGTCGCCGGCCTGGGCAAAACTCGATAGGGGGTCTCAGGAACTGGGGGGCTCGCCCCCCTGGGAAAATCCTTCGCTGGCAACTCACATCTTGTCGGCTCTTGCGAATCGACGCTAGTCGACACGAACTCGACGCTAATCGTCCCTTCATCGACGCTGATCGACGCTAACCGACGCTAAATCGGCGCTATCTCATCGAATCCCAGACGCTAATCGACGCTGATGGACGCGAAAGACGGACTTGCAAGGGCACGCACAAACCTCCCATGATTTGCGACTGGAGACTCCGAGATGGGGGCCTCGGGAACGGCCTCCCCCAGAAGAACCAGCAGGAACGGAACGGAACGGAACGGAAGTCTGCGTGCCAGCTCCGGTAACCGGAGCGGTCCCCTAGAGGGCAGACCGTGCGCTGAGCATGTCGGAACATGAATGTCGGCAACAAGCACACGCAAGAACATGCGATTCATAAATCCTCTGGTGTGCAGGTTTCCGGTCAGAGAAACCCTGCTGGCTAAGAAGAGCGAGAGGAGGAGAAGGAGGAGGAGGAGGAGGAGCGAGAAGAACCGGCAGGGGGGACCCCCATCCCTGCCCGCAGCGCCAAATCGCTCCTCCACAAGCCTGTGGCCGACACCGGCTTCCGGGAGCCCCCGCCACCGCTCGGACGTCCACTTTCCGTGCATTTTTCGGTTCCGTGCGTGTTTCAATGTGAGTCGTGAGAGTGCGCGCGTGAATGGGCGACGGCGGGAGTAGTTTGACATTGACTGACGCAACGATCCGAGGATTTTGGAGGCCCTTCACGATGTTTTCGTGCATTGAGCGGTCCTGTTTATAGTCGCCCCACGTTAAAAGTAGGGGCTGGGTTCTTCGCCAGGGCAATTGTTGGTCGATGGTCCAGGATGGTCCTCGATGGTTCTCGCCGAGAAAAAATGCACACGTCCGAAGAGGAGGAAGAGGAGGAGGAGGAGGAAGAGGCGGAGGAGGAGGAGGAGGAGGAGGAGGAGGAGCGATGCCCAGTCCCTGCCAGCAGCGCCAGACCGCTCTTCCACGAGCTTCTGGCCGACCTTCGGCCTCCGGGCGCCCCCGCCGGGCCCCCCCGAGGGACCGTCAGAGAAACAACGGCTCGGGAGGAAGAGCCGGCCCTGGGGCTAAGTCGGGCCTGTCCCCCTACAGGGGGGATTCTGGACGAAAAATAAGGAATAGTCAGAAAAATACCTCAAAAAATTGTCCAAAAAGTCGTCCCCATACTCTTTTTTGACTGTTTTTGAAAATTCCCCCTGTAGAGGGACAGGCCCGACTGAACCCTGGGGATGGGTCGCGCGGTAGCCTCGGAAGGCCCCAGACAGACGGCACCGCACGGCACCGCACCGCAGCCCAGGCATGCTCGGAGCGCGACCCCAGGTCCCAGGAGCCGTGCGGTCACCCTGAATCCTCACCTCGGGGGCTGCTAGACTTGCCATCGCTCGGACGTCCATTTTTCCCGTGCGTTTTTCGGTTTCGCGCGTGTTTTTTTGTTTGCTCGATGGTCCAGGATGGTCCTCGATGGTTCTCGCCGAGAAAAAATGCACACGTCCGAGCGATGCCAAGTAGAAGTGCCCCTGGCCCAAGGTGCCCCCAGCTTTTCGCTGCACTTTGGGGGCCCTGGAGCCCTCCGGTCCTCGTGAGGGGCGCTCTGGAGGCCGTCTGGGCCCCTCCGAATCCTGGGGGCACCTTGGGCCAGGGGCACTTCTAGCAACAGCCGACCTGGCTCGCCACACCCAGACATCCGGAGCGCCCACACTCCCGACGCATGCCCCGAGGCGGCCGGCTATTCATCTCGAGCCGTTTCCTGATGGTCCGTGGGCCCCCCAGAGGCCGAAGCGAAACTGGCAAAAATGATCCTGGCGAAGGGCCCAACCATATGTAGTTGTGAGTACCGCCGTGGCGCGTCTCCTCGTCGGTGGAGCTCCCTATGGGGCCACGAAGCGTGCGAGGGATGTGCCGACATGGGTGGCGGGGACGCATGTGGTCACAGCCACTAAGGCTTTCGGTGGCGCTTCCTACGGGGCAGCGGAACGTGTGAGGGGTGTGTCGACATGGGTGGCAGGGACGCCATGTGGTCATAGCCACTGGGGCTTTCGGTGGCGTTCCCTGCGGGGACACAAAACGTGTGAGGGGTGTGCCGAAATGGGTGGCAGGGGCGCGTGTGGTCACAACCCCTGGGGCCTTCGGTGGCGCTCCCTTCGTGGCCACGGAACGAGTGAGGGGTGTGCTGACATGGGTGGCGAGGCCACATGTGGTCACAGCCCCTGGGGCTTTCGGTGGAGCTCCCGATGAGGCCACGAAGCGTGTGAAGGGTGTGCCGAAATGGGTGGCAGGGGCGCATGTGGTCACAGCCACTACGGCTTTCGGTGGCGCTCCCTACGGGGCCACGGAACGTGTGAGGGGTGTGCCGAAATTGGAGGCGGGGACGCATGTGGTCACAGCCACTGGGGCCTTCGTTGGAACTCCCGATGGGGCCGCGGAACGAGTGAGTGGTGTGCCGACATGGGCGGCGAGGCCACATGTGGTCACAGCCCCTGGGGCCTTCGAGAGAGCCCATCTATGGGGCCACGAAACCTGTGAAGGGTGTGCCGAAATAGATGGCAGGGACGCATGTGGTCATAGCCACTGGGGCTTTCGGTGGAGCTCCCTACGGGGCCGCGGGGCGTGTGAAGGGTGTGCCGAAATGGGTGGCAGGGGCGCATGTGGTCACAGCCACTGGGGCTTTCGGTGGAGCTCCCTACGGGGCCACAGAACGAGTAAGGGGTGTGCCGAAATTGAGTGGCAGGGGCGCATGTGGTCACAGCCCCTGGGGCCTTCGGTGGCGCTCCCTTCGTGGCCACGGAACGTGTGAAGAGTGTGCCGACATGGGTGGCGGGGCCGCATGTGGTCACAGCCACTGTGGCTTTCGGTGGAGCTCCCTATGAGGCCACGAAACGTGTGAAGGGTGTGCCGAAATGGGTTGCGGGGACGCACGTGATCACGGCCACTGGTACCTTCGAGGGGGGCGCCGAAATGGTGGGCATGTGGAGGGCAGAGGCAGGAAGGGAGGGAGGGAGGGAGGGAGGGAGCAGGAGGAGGAGGAGGAGGAGGAGGAGGAGGAGGAGGAACGCGGGGCACTGTCTCTTCAAAACGAGGACCCAACACCTCAGGATGGTGGGGAGAGGCCTGCGTGTCGCGCGCCTCGAGGCGCTGGAGCCCTATATAGGCTTTGGGGGGGCGCCCCCGGTGGGCCTCGCTGCCCTCCCGCAGCAGCCGCTGCAGCTCCTCGACCCTGGCCCTGCTCTGCGCGCCCGAGGGCGGCCTGCTGGGCAGCTTGGCCTCGCGGACGGCCCCGGCCGGCGCCACCCGCAGCTGCGCGTGGAACCTCCCCGCCCGCGCGCCCATCGGCTGCCGTCGGACCGAAGTGTCGGGTCGGATCGAGGTCGGTTCGGAGAGGGTGCCCCCAGAGTTCTTCGTGCCTGTTGGCTGTGCTTGTGCATCCTGGGGAGGGTACCCTTGGATGTTCTGTGAGTGTTGGCCGTCGGAGGGGCGCATGTTCTTGAGGGATGCCATCATGGCCTAGACCCGACTGCACACGCAAGAGTGACCCTCGGCACAAGTGACCTTTGGTGCGCAGCTTAGCGGGTGACGCGGGGTGGCCAAACCTGGGCGCGCAAGCCGCTGCTATCGGGGGACCCCATTGGGCCCGCACCGAAGGTGACTCCCGCGACAGGTTACTCTTACGTCTAGTCGAGCCCAGCGTGCACCAGGCCTGGACCGAGACCCCTCGCGTATGGGAAAAACACGACGCAAAATGTTTGTACAAATTCGGTTTCCGTCGCGGATCTACTGACCCGGGTCATCCAAACCCGGGTCAGTCAGGGTCTGCAGGATCCGGCAAAATCCTGCAGGATCCTACAAGATGCTGCAGGATCCTGCACCCAAACCCGGGTCAGAACAGCCCTGCAGGCTGCAAGAGCCGGCGCCCTGGCTGACCCCAGCTTGCACTCATCGGTGGCGAGCGAGGAGGGGAAGTCAGAAGGAGAAGGCCTTCTAAGAAGGCGGCGGAACTTCTCAGAAGCCCTCGCGCCTTCTGAGAAGCCTTCTCTGCGTCTTCGAGGAAGGCCTAACAAACTTATCGGAAGGCAGGGAGACTTCCGAGCCTTCTGAGAAGGCCTCCTCCTTCTCATTTCTAGCTCCCGAGCGAAGCGAGCCCCACCCCACCCCTCAGAAAAATCGTGGGGGGTAGGGGTAGGGTTCGCATGTGGCCCCCTACAAGCGAAAAAGGGGGAGGCCTTCTCAGAGGGCTCGGAAGCCTCCCTGCCTTCCCAGAGGCTTGCTCGACCCTCCTCGAAGGCGCACGTGGCCCCCGAACTTCCCCCCCTCGCGCGCCGCCGAGGAGGAGGGGGAGGGGGAGGGGGAGGAGGAGGAGGAGGAGGAGGAGGAGGAGGAGGAGGAGGAGGAGGAGGACGAGGAGGACTCCCCCCAAGCACGAGGCAGAGCTCGGTGTCCGCAGGGGCACCCGCCGGGCCCCCGGAAAACCGTGGAGAGCGACTCCGAGGGCCACACACCTCCGACACCTGCCATCGCTCGGACGCCCAGTCCCTGTGCACTGTTCGGTGTCGCGCGTGCTTTTTTTTTGTCTGCTCGATGCTCCTCGATGGTTCTCGCCGAGAAAACATGCACGCGTCCGAGCGATGCCCGGCCGAGGGCCCACGTCGCGGATTGAGCAGGGACCGACCGTCCCGGCACTCCTGGAGGCCCACCACGAACTGTTCTCAGAACCCATCAGTGCTCGAGGAACAAAAAAAAACACAACGCTCTCAGAACAGAGACCCGATGCATGAACACAAGTCTCATCCAGAAATGTTCTAAGAGCACGTCGTGCAAGCCACATAATTCTCTCAGAACACTCCTTGGTGGGCCTATAGGCAAGCCAAGACGCTTCACCACTGCTTGAACGAACCAATCATGACTGGGGGTCTGGGGTGCCGTTCCCTGAGGTCCGACGTCGCGAGAGAACATTGCGCGAGACGACACAGCGCCCTGGCACGCGCTGGCTCACGCGGGCCGCCAGCGCGGCACGCCGCGCTGGAAGCGAGGGCGCCCACGCGCGAGATTGCGCGGGCACGTCGACGCGGACGGCGCCGTTTTTTTCGTTGCGTCGCTCCACTGTACTCGAAACCAGCCGCGGCCAGAGCCCAGTGGACAGCGCCATCTCAGTGCGGAGGAGGAGGAGGAGGAGAAGGAGGAGGAGGAGGAGGAGGAGGAGGAGGGAGAGGGAGGAGGAGGAGGAGGAGGAGGAGCAGGAGGAGGAGGAGGAGGCCCCGAGCTGGTCTTCCGCCGCAGCGATCTCCGACGGCCCCCGAAGGGGACCGACACTGGGCGAACGCCGCCCGGTGCCCAGACGTCCTCCGAGGCGTGCTTTTCAACCCGCGGCCCCAGCGGGGCGACTGTACAGATCCACCGCCACAGGCCTGGCCCATCCCGGGCCCAGGAGCGGTGCAGATGCCTCCCTGGCCAAGGCAGGAGGGCGTATACTCCGCTCCTGGGCCCAGGATGGGCCAGGCCTGGGACAGTATATATATATATATATATATATATATACACACACAAGACTGCAGTGGCGCTTCGCGCCATGCACCTTGGTCCTTGAAGTTTGGTATGCAGGCGGAATGGCAGGAAGGTCAAGCCGACAATTTCGCGATAACTCCTGGTTGCCTTTTCTGGCATCACCGCTATAATGATGTTATTCGTTATCCTCCCTCTATGCTTATTGTTCCTTATTTTCGCCATACACTGCGCATTCTCCCCATCCTCCTCAGCTCTTTTTTGCAGAGGCTCCTCCTTGGAGAGCCTCTAGGGGGCTCACAAAAGTTGTTTCGGGTTTTCTTAAGGCCTTCTGGAGGCCTCCTGCGCGCAATCTGGGGGCCTCCGGGGGCTTCCTCGGGCCACCCTGCCTCCAACCGCCGTCTCCCTGAACGACCGGATCACGATTTGGAATTCTTCGGAGGGTGTCTTTGGGCCATCTTGGGCCGCCATGGGGCTCTCTGAGGGCCATCTTGGACCCGTGTTGTGCCGTTTTGGGGCTCTCTTGGGCTGCCTGGAAGCCCTTTCGGATGGTTGTGGGGCGATTTGGGAGCCTCCCAGGCGGCTTCGGACGCCCAGAAGACCGCCGTCTTGGAGCGTCGGGAAGCCGAAAAAAGGAGAACCACAAAATTCACCAAAACGCACAGAAAATCAATGACTTTTGCCTCGGGGGGCCTTCTTGGGAGTGCTCTTGGAGGCCTCTTTGGGGCCGTCCTGGAGGCCTCTTGGGCCAACTTGAGGTCACGTCGGTCACTCTTGGAGCGCTCTTGTGCTGTCTTGGGGGTCTCTGGGACGTCTCCGATGACCCCCTGATCGCCCTAAGTGTGCTGGGAAGGCTTGGCAAAACGCCTTGCGAGGCCCGGTGGCCGCTTCGAGGCCCGTCCGGAAGGCCCCAAAGCCCCAACCCCGGGAATCCGGTTTTTGGGGGGGGGGTGATGGGTTCTCCCCCCGCCAGGGCTTATAAAAATATAGGTGTATATATATATATATATATATGTGTGTGTGTGTGTGTACAGATCTCGTCGCCCAACCCAGAGCTCCCAGCCCCGTCCCTGGGTGTAGTCTTGCGCCCCAGATCCACTTGTGATGGTCCCTGGGCCTCGCGGCGGCCCCCGAGGGCCGAAAGGAAGGAGAAAAGCAGGGATTGGAAAAACAGGTCCTCGGGGTCTGAGTGTGAAACGAAATGATGCCCAGAGCTCCGGGTTTGACGCGCGCGCGGCGCGTAGCTCGAGCTGGTCTAGTGCACACCTGGCGCCGTCCATGGGACGCAGAAGGACATGCCGATACGATGCGCCCACCAGAGCAGGCGCAAGTCCGAACCGAACGTGTAACACAAGCGCCTGGAATTGCCCAAGCGGTATGGCCAGGAATCACCCTGCCACCGAGCATGTGATACAAGACTTCTGAACGTGGGCGTGGCCCCTGCGGAGCCGCCGCACAAATACCATGAGCATGTTTGGTAGGTGGTGCCGAGCTCGGAGCCTCCGGCCGAAGGCGTCCGGTTCGAGGTTCAGCGCCGGAGCGCTGGCGGCGCTGAGGGGGCCGAAGATCTTGAGGCTCTGCATGTTGAGGAGGAAGATCGGCAACCCCGGGGCGATGCACGCCCTCATTGGGGGTCTCAAGTCGGAGTGGCGACAGGCCGTGCGGGTACCTCGGAACCCCCGACGACCTCACCGCACGATCCGTCACCGCACGGTGTGGGGATCTTGGAAGCCCCTGTTGCCCGAGGCCCTGGAGGTCGTTCTGGCTTCCGGCAGGACACCTCGGCGCGGGATGCCTGAGGTCGCAGCCGGTCCTGGGAGACCTTGTCTGAGCGTCTCCCAAGTACGCGTGCCCGGCAGCTCTCCAGAAGGTCCTTCGGAAGCTCTCTCCAGGTCCTTCCAAGGTTCTTCCCCACAAGTTGCCCGAGGCGTCCCCTGAGAACGACACCAGCTCCGAAACCGTGCGGTCTTTCGGAATCCTCCACGGACTCGCCGCACGGTGCGGCCACTGCACCGCTTGGGGGCCCCCCGGGCCTCATCTGGCCCAGCTCGCTGGCGGGGGAGCCCATGAGCCGCCGGCGCTCGCACTCCCCCTGCGTCGAGTTGTTGCACGCGAAGATGTAGCCCGCGGCCTTGCCTTCCCAGAGGAGAGGGGAGGGGGGGGGGAGGGAAGGGAGGAGGAGGAGGAGGAGGAGGAGGAGGAGGAGGAGGAGAAGGAGGAGGAGGAGGAGGAGGGGGAGGAGGAGGGGGGGGAGGGGGAGGAGGAGGAGGAGGAGGAGGAGGAGGAGGAGGAGGAAGAGGAGGAGGAGGAGGAGGAGGAGGAGGAGGAGGAGGAGGAGGAGCACGGGGCGTCTGCGCCCGGTCTTTCGAGCCCCCTGGCCATCGCAGATCGTTCTCGCTCCGGCTCGAAAGACGCCGCACAAAGATGGAGTCATGGGAGGGGGGGGTCCGGCTCTGGACCTCTGCTTGATGCGACTGTTTGCAGCAGGGCGTCCTAGGGGGGGAACCCCACCTGCCCGAAACAGGCGCCAAGAACGGCCAGGATCTACTCCCACGGGGGGGGGGAGGGGGGGGCGGCGAGGGCCCGCGCCGATCGGCAAAACGGTGGATAAGAAAACGATCACTTGTTCGCCGCGCTGCACTTGATTCGCAGCGTCGGATCCCCGGAGGGGTGGGGGGGAGGCCACGGCGCGGCGGAAGGAGCGGGCGGGGGCCGACCCCAAGGGGGAGCGAGGGCAGCGCCGGGAAGCGTCGGCAGGCGCACCGGGGCGCGCAGGTGTGCAGGAGCACGCGAGGGAAGCTCAGCGCAGAGTCGAGTGTGATGGGCGAGGGCTCGCGAGAGGACAGGAGGCGCTTCCGAAGGCCACAGCGCCCTATAGGAGCGCAGAGGCACGCGCCGCTGAGCCCGGGGCACCCCGTCGACCCCATTTCAGTGTCCCAGCGCCGACCCCAAACGGGCGTGCTGGCCGAGAGCCGGGGCGCCTGGCCCGCAGCTGGCCCTCGCGAGGGTCGGCCTGCTCCGAAGGCCGAGGCCCCCGGCCCACAACTGGCCCACAGGGCCGGCAGAGGCCTCTGTAGGGGGCCACATCCGAACCCTACCCCTACCCCCTACCCTACCGCTCGGGAGCTCCCGAGCGAAGTGAACCCCACCCTGCCCCTCAAAACTCCTGGGGGGTAGGGGTAGGGTTCGCATGTGGCCCCCTACTCTGGCCCACCAGGAGGGGCGCCACCCCCGGGAGCGTCGCCACTTTTCGAAAGCCGCGGCGCCCGGTCCACAGCTGGCCCACAGAGCCGGCAGGTGCCCCCGGCCCGCTGGGAGGAGCGCCATCCTCGTGGAGGTCGCCACCTCTCGAAGGCCGCGGCACTCGGCCAACAGCTGGCCCACAGAGCCGGCAGAGGAGGCCTCGGGCCCACCAGGAGGGGCGCCATATCCTCGTGAAACCCGGCCCGCAGCTGGCCCAGAGCCGGCAGAGCCCTCCAGCCCGCTGGGAGGAGCGCGCGGCCTCGCGAGGCGCGGCACTTTTCGACCGCCAGGGCGACTGGCCCACAAGGGGCCCACAGAACCGGCAGAGGCCTCCGACCTGCCGGGAAGCACGCCATCCCTGTGAAGGTCGCCGCTTTTCGAATGCTGGCCCACCTCCTCCTCCTCCTCCTCCTCCTCCTCCTCCTCCTCCTCCTCCTCCTCCCTCCTCCTCCTCTCCTCCTCCTCCTCCTCCTCCTCCTCCTCCTCCTCCTCCATCTTCGAGAGGGTCGCCCACAGCTGGCCCACAGAGCCGGCAGAGGCCTCGGGCCCACGAAGAGGGGCGCCATATCCGCGTGGGCCAAAGCGCCATGGCCCACAGCTGGCCCACGGAACCCGCAGAGGCCTTCGGCGCAGCGGCAACCACCCGAACAGTAAGGACGGCATCCCCAAGAAACGCAAGAATCATGCGATGACAGTCGGAAGAACAATACTGCATCAGCATGTACAACACCGGCATTCACAACATGCACGCAGGAACCGCAACGACATGAGCAACGATACGAGGACTAGTGGCAGCATCAGCAAGAGCCGCATCAACTACGGAATGACAATAAGAATAACAACAGCAAATCAACAGTCAGATTCATGTCCAGAGCCACAGAAACCAAAACAAAACTTGGACAGCAACGACGACATGAGCGGCAGCCGCAGCATGGCCACAACAACATAAACAACCACATGAACAACAGCGACGGCATGAGCAGCAGCCGCATCATGAGCAGCAGTGGCGACTTGAGCAGCGGCTACTTGAGCGGCAACCTCACCACCGAAATGGTAAGGAAGAGCAACCGCATCAGCATAGCCGGCAGAGGTCTACGGTCATCAATTCTTACTGCCAGGTGAGAGTCCCTTATGCTAAAGCATAGTTGGCGAACTACGGCCAGTAAAACAGAGCTAAGATCGGGATAAATCGATCCAGAGCGTTCCGGAGCGCTCTCAGAGCGTTCCGGAACGCTCTGGAGCGGCCGCGGCGCCCAATACATCCGCCAAACCCGCCGATTCTCAGAGATTTCGAGTTATCCCGGTCCGATTTTGTCCCGATCTTCGCGTCGTTTTAGCCAGAGCCAAGGCAGAAGCACATCCCTCCAGAAACTGCGCCCCTCCGCCAGCCGAGTTTGAAGAACCTTCGAGGGTGCCCGCCCACAGGGGATACACGAGGACATCGAACAGGCACGAAGAACAGCAGGGTGCTCCAGATTTCGTAAGAAAGGGAAGGGGGTCTCCTTTCCGGGGGGGGTCTCTTCCAGGCTGTCTTGGAGGGCCTGGGGGGGTCTGGGGACGATGTTCTGGAGGGTTCTCCCACGGGGGAGGTCTGAAATGGCTTGTCTTGGAGGGCCCAGACCCCCTCCCTTTTATTACGAAATCTGGAGTACCCTCCCCGAACCGACCTCGATCTTCTACCTCGGTCCGACCGTGCCCCTCTGGGCTTCGCCACCGCGCACTGGGCAGAATGCGGCGCAGGCTCACGTCCAAATCGCTATCAGCACGCTCACACCGTGCCCCGCTCCAGCTGCCCCGAGCCCTGGAGAACGCCAGGGCCGGGAAACGCAGACTCCTCCTCCTACCCCCTACCCCTCCTCCTCCCCCTCCCCCTCCCCCTCCTCCTCCTCCTCCTCCTCCTCCTCCTCCCTCCTCCTCCTCCTCCTCCTCCTCCTCCTCCTCCTCCTCCTCCTCCTCCTCCTCCTCCTCCTCCTCCTCCTCCTCCTTCCCCTCCTCCTCCGCGGCGGGGTGGCATGTACTGGTATGCTAGACACCG